GAGCCGCAGCCCAAGCAGTAGGGAGACACAGCCGAGGCCTGGGCACGCTTGGCTTCCCTCTCTGCCAGGCTGCCCCTCTGTCTGGAGCATCACAGAGAGCAGGCTCTTGTTGGGCAGGACAAAGCACTTTGGAGGTGAAACAGCTCTGTTGTCCCTTGGCCAGGAAGAAAGGGCACGTTAAGAAAAGGCAAGCAAAGAGGGAAAGGAAACTGCAGTGGGGGCTACCACAGCAAATATGGTATCGGTCTTCGTGCCCCCTGTGATGAGACAAATTAAGCTGAGACTAACTGCTTTGAGGAGAATTGCCATTGTTCCTGGAGCTGCCTGTCTGGCCTGCCTGAGAAGAGCCCTCAGCCCACCAGCAGGTCTTCATTATTCCCCGCCACTGAGCGCCCTCCCTCCACTACCTCTCCACGCCATCCTGGCCTCTTCTAAAAGCCCTTGACAAGATTAGAAAACCAGGGCAAATAATTTACTTCAATCCATCTTTGTCTTTCCTGGAGCTTTATGCAACTCAGTCTGGAAGGGGAATAAAAAAACAGTGTAGCCCTCGGCCAGTGACCCTTCTTCAGAGATAGAATCAAAGCCCACTTAAGGCTGAGCATCTGTCTCCTCTGAGAGGCCATGGAGCAGATGCACAGAGACCGGGAGTTTCTCGTGTGTCTCCTGATCGGGAGCGTCGCTGTCAGCATCTTCAGGGTGTACAAATGACAGGACGGGGTGAGCCTCTGGCGAGCTGAAAGTCTGTTGTGGATCCTCAGCACCTCGCACCCCCAGAAAACACTGTCAGGTCCTGCCCAGGAGCAGGCGAGGCTGCTGGAGCACTTAAGAATCTGCCAAGGAGTGGCACTTCAGAGTCCTCCCTGGGTGGGGGCCGCTGTGCCTGCCCCACCATGGGCTGAGGCTCTGCCAGACTGGCGAAGCGCAGGGCAGGATGTAGAAGCAAGGGGAGGAACACCACAGAATCCAGACATACCCGGAAGCGCCACCGTGGCCACCCTCTCTGCTTTCTCCTTTGTATGAGAGGGAGGCACGTTTTCAGTGTCCGTCCTGGTGAGAGCACTGAATAGCAGTTGTCACAGCTAACCCCCAGACCTGAGTGTCACGAGGACACCAGGGTCAGATCTAAAGCTCTGAAACTGGCCTTCCCCCTTGATGGATCTCAGCAGCACTCGGACACACCATTCAAGCTGCCAAAGCAGCGTGGCCAGACAGGTTTCTGAGTGAGTTTAAGTGCAGGGTAGAGGGGCAGAGGCGGCTGTCTCCGGCTCTATAGGACAGCCCTGAGGACACAGGCACGCATCTGACCACTGGGGATCCTAGGTTTGCAGGGCCAGCTCCCCAGGCAACAGGAAGGAGTAAGAGATGCCAGAAGTCAGCGCTGCAGCTCTCCAGAAACATCACCTGAAACAGGAGGAGGAAGGCAGCTCCCTTCTTCCGTATAGAGCCCCTGCTTTAGGCACCCACCGAAATGGTACCTGTTGTCTTGGTTGCGCCCTTCCAAATGGGAGCCTCTGGACACAGTGTTTTCTAAAAAGGAAGTTTCCCATAGGCCTAGAGCAGGAGTGCCCTGGCCTCCAGGGTGCCCAGGGAACTGCCTGCACCTCGCACACTTCCTGCCACACGCAACACTGCTCAGAACCCGGGGAGGCTTTCCATCCATTCCGCAGCGGCTGGGTGGGCCCACCTCCCGTGTGCAGCTGCAGGCATCCAGGATGCTGGGAGCGCTGAGCAGTCGTAGCCAGTGTTTGTTCTGGTACAGTCGGGGAGCGCATGTCACACAGCCCAGTAGGGGAGCCATCTGAGCAGAAGCACTCTGAATACCGATGAAATGGATTGTTTCTGAGTTTTTGTTTTCCAAGCCAGGGTTTCTCTGTGTACCTGTGGCCGTCCTGAAACTCCCTATGTAGACCAGGCTGGCCTCGAACTCACTGTGATCTGCTGCCTCTGCCTCCCTGGGCCACAAGCTGGCAGAGGACTGGAATGTCCTTTGGGTCCTCTGCACACTGGACACTTCAGCTTGACCTGGCTGAGGCAGCTGGCAGAACAGTGAAATGTTTGGGCAAAGCCTCCTGGCAGTGTCCACCAGCATAGGTAGGCTGTGGAAATCCTGGCTTGTGCTGGCCTCCAGGCACATGTGGGTGGTTCTGGGCACCAGCAGCACTCGTGTCAAATGGCCCTCTGGGGAATCTCAGGAATGCAGGCCCTTCTCCCCTGTGTAGGGAAAATCTCCCCACCTTGAGCACCTATCTCTTCCTACAGATATCTAGAAAGGGAAGAGGAAGGCAGAGGAGCAGGATTTATTGAGTACCAGCTCTCTGCCCTGCTTTGAGGATCAGGAAACACAAGTTTTGAGAACTGGCCCTGAAGAATCCTGGGCTGGGCTGGCCTGGGCTAGGTCAGCCTCTCCAGGGAGAGAGGGCGCGGTCTGGAGGAGGCAGATTGCAGAGAAGCTCTAAGTCTGTGGAAAGACAGAAGTCACGAGTAGACATTGTGAGTTGGTGAGCAGCATTTTGGGCAGCCTGGAACAGAACTGGCTGCAGATGGGAAGAGGGATTCTGTGACCCTCTGCTGGCTCCGGCCCCGCACCCCCACCCCACCCCCGCGTACACGTGGGTGTACAGGTGGGTACACTCGTGTAAGAGCAGCAGGCCTCGCTTGCAAACGTGGAGGGCCTCACCTTCCACCTTCTTTAACCCAGGGTCTCCTGTTTGCCACTGCAGCAAAGCTAGCTGGCTTTAGGGGTTCTCTTCCCTCTCCCTCCCATCTCACAGTCCGTGCTCAGGTTATAGACGCAGCTGCCACGTCGGTCTTCATGTGTGTTTGGGGGATCCTCACAGAAAGCCACACACCTGCATGGCAAGCACTACCCACTGAGCCACCTCCCCAGACCATGCTGCTAGCTCTGCCGTGTGGTGTGTGCCAAGCCCTCAGCAACCCATTCATGTGCTTGTAAATGTGTCTAAAGACACACATGGAGCAGAACCCAGTTCTGGCAGTGAGAACACACCCATAGATGCGCCAGGGGACCGTGAACTGTGAAAAGGCCCCGTAAGGTGGTTAGTGGAGAAAGCAATATACGTGGAATGTGTGTGGTGGCAGGGTGGGGCTCTTCTTGTGTTTGCCTGTCTCTGAGGTGTGACCTGAGAGGCTGGGAGAGCAGGGAAGTGGGAGGCAAACACTCGGACACTGCTCTCTGACCACTCCTTTGTAGTGTCTGACTAGTAACATGTACGCAAAGAAGTATAGCCAGGGGCAGTGGCACGCTCAGGAGGCAGAGGCAGGCGGATCTCTGTGAGTTCCAGGCCAGCCTGGTCTACAGAGCGAGTCCAGGACAGCCAAGGCCACACACAGAAACCCTGTCTCAAAAGACCAACAACAACCAAACAAAAAAAGTATACTTTGAGGACCAGGCATAGTGGTAGAGGCATTGTTAGGTAGAGGCAGGAGGATCTCTGAATTCTAGGCCAGTCTGGTCTCTATAGTGAGTTCCAAGCCAGCCAAGGCTACACAGTAAGATCCTGTCTCAGAAACAAACAACAAAAGAACATAAGTCAAGATATTTTTTGCGTAGGTTGGAAGATGGTTCAACATTTAAGGGCACTGCTGCGGGCAGAGGACCTTTGGTGTGATGGCCAGCACCCATGGAGTGGCTCATGACCATCGGTGACTCCAGTTCCGGGGGATGCTGTGCCCTCTGCTGGCCTCCACAGGCACCAGGCACATCTGTGGCGCTTCGCCATAATTGCAGCCAAAACACCAGACACATAAAAATACTTTTTGAGCTTCAAATTTAGGCTTTAGTAAGCTGGAGTCTTCGGTGGGCCCAGCTGACTCTGATTGAGCATCTACCGAGAGCTGTGTCACACACCCTAGCTGCTGTGAGGGCATGGTAGATGTTAATCCACACAGTCCTTCGTGGGAGGCGCACTCATCCAGTCTGTACCTCAGAGGAGGCAGGTCTTTCCTGCCTGTCTGGCTCACTCCTTGTCCTGCAGCACCTGAAATGAGCAGAGCTGAAGAAAGGGGCACACACACGGGGGTGACTGTTTCCTGCCAGGCGCTGCGCAGACCAGCCTGCAGCCACTTCTCAAGCAGAGGCACCCTGCCCCGGCTGCTGCCCTCTCTTGTGTCCCTGTGCACTGGCTGAGCTCTGCAGCTGAGCTGGCTTCGGGGAGTGTGGGGCACTTACCCTATGCTCTTCTGGTGTCAGCTGCGCGCCCTGTGTGCCAGCTGGAGGCCAGCTGGGAGTTGTTTTTCTGATTGTCAGGCCCAGGCTCCTTACTTGCACTTAGGGGAAAAAAACATCCAAGCCCTGGTACAAAAGGTCCCTCTTTTCATGGCTTTGGAAGAAGCTGTGAATGAGCTCATTATCACTGCGGCCCAAGAAGGGGGACAGGCAGTCCCCGCCTGGCTGTCTAGACCTATCCCCGGCCACACATACTGGACCGAGGGGCAGATGGGGCAGCTTGGCTCCAGCCCACCGTAACCAAAGCCAGGTGCCGAGACAGGTGGTCCATGCCAGGGCCCAAGCTAAAGGCATGTGGATGCTTTGAGGCTAGCTGTCTCTGCTGTGGGCCAGAGGAAGGGCAATGCTGATGGCGCCCTCTTTCCGCCCACTAAGCGCAAAGCTCCGTCTGCCCTCCCAGCTGCAAAGGGGTCTCCTCCCCCCAGCTTCAGGAGCCTCCTCTGTGCAGGTGGTCTACCTGCCCCCACCCCTCAGGGCTGGCAGTAGCGACCACCACCCGTCTGTACTGTGCTCACAGTCTGCCAAGCGTGGCTCCAGGCGCTTTTTGGATAACGCAAGAGCAAAGCTGTCACTGTCCTCTCAGGGACCTAAGTTCTAAGGTGAGCAGTGACAGGTGCAGAGCTTCTGGAGTCCTGCAGAATGACTCCCCACCCCTTCCTGAGTTAGACCCAGGGAGGACAGCCAGGTGGCCCTGGCCTCGAGCTGGCAGCGCTGACCCCAAGATGACCCCTCTCCTATTCTTCTGTTTCAGATTGAGAAAATCATGAGCTCGATCGGAGAAGGGATTGACTTTTCTCAGGAACAGCACAAGCTCTCAGGTACTGTACTAGGCCCCATCCTGGGGCCTTTCTGCCTCTGGCAACCTTGGGTCCTCCTCTGTTCCAAGACACTCGCTGGTGGGAGAAGTGGACAACCTAGGCCGCGTGCTGCTCTGGGCCTGTACTTTCAGGGCAAGGACTACGTTTTGGAGGGAAGTCTGGGGGTTGAACCTGAGGCTGCTCATTAGGAAAGGGGTGTGCTGTTGAGTGGTTGTCAGTCATTCATCATGATTGTTCATCGGAGTGGCGCAAACTGGACTCGTTTCCACACCGGCCCTCAGTTCCCAAGGTGGCTCCGGCACCAGCTGGCCATGGAAACACGCCCCTTGTTTGCCTTGTTTACAGCAGGAGAGTGTGGGGCTACACAGGTGTCCTCTCTGTGAGTGAAGTTGAGGCCTTCTGAAGCGGGGTGGGGGGAGTTCTAGTTCCCTAAGCCATCTGCCGATATTACCCAGATCAACCCCGTTTCGGTCAGTCTTTTCATCCAAGCCATTAGAGTGGTCTGACTCGGTTTCCTTTTTTGTAAAATGGGCCATCGTGCCCGATTTCCTTCTTGGGAGACATGGCCTTAAAGTGCCTCATGGCCCCTGTAGAGTCCTGATTCCAGCCCCAGAACTATGGCTTCCAGGAGGAGGCCCAGCCTTCCTTCCTCATCAGTGTGCCCCCTCTCCCAGGGTGGGGTTCCACCTCCTTCCATGCTGGCCCAGCAGCCTCCCTTGTGGCCCTGCCAAGGTGCCTGATGGAGGAGGGTGCTGTGTGCAGCCTTGCTGAGCAGAGCCTGGCCTCTGGAGACATTGCCCTGAGTTCAAGTCACAGTCCTAGATACAGACTTCAGGGAAACTTGTTTCATCACTGAGCGCCAAGCTCCCACCTGAGAGCCCTCACAAGCTCCTGAGTGAAAGGAGGCCAGCACCTGCAGCAGCCACCCATTCCTGTCTGAGAACAGGGCACCTGCTCCTGCCTTGGCTCCCTCTGCATTCAGCCTTGCTTCCTGGCACCTCCTTTCCTGTGGCCCCGTTTCTGGGTCCTAGCTGTGGGTCTGAGCTCAGATCCATCCTTGTCAATCTTGGATGACTGCTGGAGCTTTCCCAGCTGAGACCCCATGGCTCCCTCTCCAGACCACTGCTTCTGCTCTGCCCAGTGGCGGCTGCTCTGGTGCTCCTCTGGCCTGCACAGGTGTTTCCAAGGGTTGGGTCTTCATAGAGAACATGTGTTTGTGACAGACCCGTGCCACGTTCAAAGTGGGCACCGAGAGCTTTGAGCTTAGGGTGGCTACCTTCTGCTCTCCTGTACCGTGTCTTAGGATCAGGAGCCTAAGCCACCATCATATGCCAGGAGGCTGGAGTCAGCAGACCACTCCGTCTGGATCTAGTCAGCCCTCCTGGGGAGAGCCTTGCCCTCTCTCCCACCATGGGGTGGCAAGAGGCCTTCTCTACACTCTGGCTGTCCTGACCCCAGCACCTGGTCTTGTGTGCATGCTCACTTTGCTGAGCCACCTTCTACACCGTAGCTTAGGGACAACCAGGGCAGCAGAGATGTGTGCCATGACATGGAAGGAGGCCCAGGGTAATGGGGACTGCACCACTGCCTGCTCAGAAGCCTGGACAGGCTGGCTCGGGCCAAAGCAGAGTGCATTTTGAGTAGTCAGCATCAGAGTGTGTAGGGGTCAGCTGTCAGAGGGTCAAGGAGGAGGCTCAGCCCCTGGCAGCAGCTGCTCGGAATGCCCGACTGTGCTCAGGGTTCTCTCCCGAAGGGCAGGACCGCAGCACTGGGGCTAGATCCCCAGATCCCCAGAAACAAGTCTCACAGCTGCTTCGTGCCTCTGCCAACCACCAGGCACCCATCCCCCTGACCGCCCTGGAGCCTCTGAGCAGAGGCCTCTGTCGGAAGGCTCTCCTCTGCCTGCACTCTACCGTCCCTGTGGAGCAGCTGCTGAGGGTGGTCTCCTGGGGCCTGGGCTCTCAGGACACGATGCCCGTACATGACCTACCGAGACAGCAGGTGCCTCCGCATGTTTACGGGGGATGTGTGGAGCCTGTGTGTCTGTGGCCTTCGCTGTCCCTCCCTGGCTGCACTTGCAGTTGGTCAGGTGTCCCCTGGGCTGGCCGTTGCTGAGTGTCCTGCCCTCGGGCTCCGCTTCTCCCTGGGCCTGTGTGCTCATCTAAGGCACACCAGGGGCAGTCGCCGTGGTTTGCTGTCTCTGTGCTGAATAGGACAGTGTTTCCTGAAGTAGCAATCGGGGGTCACTGAGCTGTGGACTGTGTTGCCCTTTGGTTCCTTCCCCTGGCTTTTCTTGGAACTGCCAGCCCAAGTTACGGGCACGATTCATCTGTGCCCTCCAAGAGGTTTCCAGCCCCCGAGCTGGAGATGCTGCTGCCGGCCCCTTGGTGTCTGTGTCTGCCTTGCCTGCATCGCTCCCAGGAAACCTGCCCTCTTGCTCTGCCTCCCCCAGCAGCAGCAGCTTCTGTTCCAGTGTCCGATCCCTGATGTATTTTCCTGAGCATGGAAGGGGGAAGGGTGGGAGGGGAGGAAGGGGAGGGCCAGACACGAGAGTGAGCAAGGACTGTGGCGCTGGCAGCCGGCAGCCAGCAGCGTGGAGCCACAGAGCCTTTAGACAAAGCATTCCGCTGCGGCTCCGTGAGCGCGCGCATCCACCGGCAGCAGGCTGGACCACAGCTGTCCAGCGCTGGGATTACAAGCAGGAATGAATCAGCAGCCAGGCTACACAAGCTCATGAGCATTCAGGAGCCTGCTGCGTAGTTTCCTGGAGCCGACCTCCCATTCAAGGGCAAGTCTGGGAGCCCCCGGACCTGGCGTTTTGGAGCACTGCTACAGCCTGCATCCAGAGACTCCCGGTCACCACCCACCATCTGTTCTTCGGGGGACAGGAGAGGACTGGAGGCTGCCACAGTTGGTCAGCAGGGTCCCTCGGACAAGCAAGTTGGCATTGCCCTGCCTTGAAGGGCAGAGCCCGCCAGTGACGGCAGGATGGCTTCCACCGTGTCACAGAAGACTCCCTGGGAGGTGATGCCCCTGTAGGGGCTTTTTCTCTCTCTGCCTTGCACCTCTCTTCTCTTCCCCTTCCTTACCCTCCTCTTACCTGTTCTTGCTACAAGAACCAAGGAAGTAAGGTGGGCACCTGGCTGAGACCACCTGAGGGCCACCGGGAAGGACTGAACTTTTGTCTTCCCTGCACTGCCACGGTCCTGCCCTGGCCGTAGAGCACGGTGAGCAGGCTCTCCTCCTGCCTGTGCATCTGGAGAGACCGTGGGCCAGAGAGCCTGGGAAGAAAGCTGTGTGCTGCCCGGCCGGAGCGCAGCGCACCGTGAATAGGCAAGCTGCCGGCGCCGACGGACAGGCGCTTCCTCTTTTCCTTCTGCTTGGCTTTTGTCTTCTTTGACCAAGAACCGAACAGCCCAACTGCTGTCCCTTCAGCAGGCAGGCAGGTCACAGGAACCACCTCTGAAGACAGGGAGAATGAACACCATGCTCCTGGAAGCCAACCCGGGCCAGGAAGGCAGCGCCTTGGTACAGGAGGCACCCCGCTGGCCAGCCACGCAGTCCAGTAGGAGACCATGCCACTGACCCAGCAGAGCCACACCTGAGCCCGGGCCCCACACTCCAGCCCATCTGCTCACCCAGCCCCCGGCTGTCCTGAGCCGGGAGCACAGACAGCTGGGGCCATGGTTTGCTTATTCCGGGACTGCTGGGGGAAAACAAGTAAAAGTCCCTTCTCTCCCCCTGCCGCGCTGTGTGCTGCTTGCGTTGCATGTGCTGGGTCCCTGTGAACAGCCGCCGCCGCTTCCTCCCCGGAGCCCTCACTGTGTGCCCGTGCCCCCCAGCTGCATGAAGACTCGCCCTCACTCCTGACCGGCCTGTGCTGCACGGTCGCAGAACTAGCCCCTCCACAGCCCCGCAGCAGCTCCAGAAGTTGCATGGATCAGAGGAGCAGCCAGGCTGGTGGCCACTTAGGAGCTCCAGTTGTCCCCCTCTAGGGCCCGTGGGGACAGGCTTCCTTCGATGCCTCTGTGTGGACGCTTGTGAGGAGTTGACCCGGAGACCACTGGGGGTTGGCTCCCCCGGCCCTGGGGCAAGACTGTGCATGTGCAGCCTCGGCCCGGCCCCGGACAGCTCATTCTGTGGGGTGTGAGGGCAGCAGCCACCAGGCTGGCTCGTGCACGCTGCCGGCAGAGAAGCGGCGTGCCTGCTCTTGCTCTCTGTACATAGTCTGGCTACTCCATGGTGATGACTATGATGTGGCAGTGCCATCTGGCTTCCTCTGAGTGCCGCTGCTACCGCCTTAATGGGTTTTCCCTTTTCAAGCGTCTGCCGATTCCTCTCTCGTCAGGTTCTCGAACGCTGGAGCAGAGCGTCGGGGAGTGGCTGGAGTCCATTGGCCTGCAGCAGTATGAGAGCAAGTTGCTGCTGAATGGCTTTGATGATGTCCGCTTCCTGGTAAGTGCCTCAGGCCCTCTGCTGGCCAGCACTGGTGCTGCTTGCTGGACACTGGCCTCCCTCACGGACCTGGCCCAGGGGAGAGCCAGCCGAGGGACGTGGGTACCAGGAAGTCAGCTGAGTGCCTGATGCCAACTCTGCAGGCACTCCTGGCCCCACTCCCTGTGCCACAGATACCGTTCAGGTGAGCACTCTCGGGAGGACCCCTGACTCGGAGCCTTGCCCCAGCCCTGCTCCTTAGACTGGATGCTGCTGCACTGTACACTGTGGCACCCTGGCCAGCATGTGGAGCCAGTCCCCAGCAGCTCTGGTGGACGGGGCTGCCGGGTGCCCCTCCAGCACTCTGTGTCCCATGCCGGCTGGATGCCAGGAGTTCCCCGCTCTTTCAGAACTTTGCTGTTGTCATGGTAGCAAAGGCACCTTCCTTCCCAAGTGTGATGGAGGCCAGGGCTTCTGTGTGCCTGGCCCCAGCTGGCAAGGGAACGGCCCAGTGTTGGTTTGGTTGCTTTTCTGAGGTTCATTCTGCACTCACAGAACATAGGGGTCAAAGGACAAATAAGAACCTCTGCTCTGCTCCCTGGGGAATAGGGACTCAGCTTAGACCCTGGGCTTAGAAGCCAGTGGTCCCAGGCATCTGTCTCCTAGAAGCCTTGCCCATTGTGTCCTCGTGGGTCATTCCAGGCATGCTCAGGAGCAGGCCTGAGGTAGCACAGCAGCCACTGTTTCCCACGTGCCGGCAGTGGGATACAGAGGTTAAGTGCTTTGCTCAGCATCACACTGCTGGTGATTGGCCGAATGAAAATGTGCACAAGTTACAAGGCAAGAGGTCCTCCTCGGACCACTGTGTCGCCCGTTCTCTCATTTGGGGGTGTAGCAGGACCATTCATACGCTGCACATCTCGGTAAGCGAGCAAACCCCTCTGTGCTGCTCCTTCCAACTTCCGAGGCCTAGCCCCCTCCTCTTCTAAACCCCGGGGCGTTTCAAACTGTTCCCTTGAAGCAGAACTCTCTCACTTGTGCCCACTTGCCCTGCACCTCCTGTGAGGGGCCATGTTTGTAGAGCTGGCACCGAGTCCCAGCCTACCCGCTGTCTCGGTGGGATGAGTGAGTTGATTCTGAGGGCACAGGGTTTGCTGTCTTCAGGGGGGTCCTGCTTGTGGCTTACAGGAAGACCCACAGGAGAGTGCCTTAACCAAGCCTTTGTGTCCCCAGGCAACTGCAACAAGCTGCCCTCTCTTGTCCAGGTTTGGGGCTGTTCTTTTTCAGATTTTAAAAATGCCTACAGTTTTAAAATAGCAGTTTGTTTTTCCTTTCTAAAAATTAAGCTATATTGGGTATGATCATGGTCCCTTGAGCCTTCTTTCTGACTCACCATGCTCTTTAGGAGCAGACCACGAACTAGGAAGGAGGTGGGCTCAGTCAGTGGGAAGGACGGGCAGCTCTGCTAAACATGGAGAGGGCTTGAGCAGCCTCAGCGCTCCCTGAGCCTCCTTGAGGCCCAGACCAGAGAGCAGCCAGCTGACATTTTTGGGCAAGCATGGCCCTGAGCCAGATGCCCATATTAACGAGCAGAGTCTGCGAGAACGGTCCTCCAGCCTGGTGCCCTCAGCTTGCTTCCCCCAGGGCCTCTTTAGTCTGCCCTCAGAGGCGTGCACCAGAGGTGAGTGAGCACACCTGCCTTGAGTATGTTGCCTCAGGAGCCTGAGTGGCCAGCACAGCATCCTGGGCAGTGCATGTGAACCGCCAGGTGGGCTTAAGCATGATTTTACCAGGGGGGAGTTCCCGTTCCTGACACACTCACTCAGGGGCGTGCGCCTGGTGCAGCTGTGTGCTTCACAGTTCACAGAGTCTTCACGAAGACTGCGAATGTTCCCCCTGGCCCTGAGAGTCCCTGGAGACTCTACCAGATGCAGAGTAGCCCCAGGAAGCCCGGATCCAGATGTGTTGGGAACATCTGGACACATGTTCACAGACAAAGTGCTGCTGTGGAGCTCTGCATGGCTGAGGCGCTTTACTGATGTTTTTAGTGATGGGACCCAGTGCCCGGGCTGCCTTCATGCTACTGTTCACCCTGGGTCCTTGAGCCTTCTGTGTGCTGCTCTTGGGTTCACCTGTGAGGCCACACAGAACATTCACGCTCTCTAGACACACACCTGAAGACTTCTGTGGCCACACAGATCCTTTGTTGTCTGGGCTCGGCGCTCTTAACCCTGACTGTCCCCACAGTAATGTTATGATGGATCCGGGCAAGCAGACCTTGTACCCTGAAAGTCTTCCACACACTCTTGCCTATAGGCAGAAAGGAAGGGCTAAGCCAAGGCTATGAGGGCTACCATGCTCCCCCTGTGCTAATGGGTCCTGATGGGGTGCCCAACCCTAGCACCAGGAAACCAGACAAGGGTGTGGCTGCCTGCCAGCCAGCAGCCCCCACACTGACTCAAGCTGCATGGTCCATTCATCTTCACCACAGACCATGTCTGCAGGAATGGGCTTTCTTGGGAGTAAGGAGCAAATAAATGCATTTGGCCAACTCAGAAGGAGGGCTTTGGTGGCTGGCACACCTGTACCCCTCCAAGCATGCTGGGCCACTCTCTGACAGCCTCGTGGAACAGCTGTGGCATAAATGACGGCGGCCCTGAGGCCAGAGGGTCGTGACAGATGTGGAAAGTCATATAGTGAAAGATCGCCTGATGTAGGGAAATGTTCGCGTGGGGCTGTCGGGGAGGCACACAGGAATACGTGACCCCCAGTGCTCTGCGCACGGGAGGTACGAGGAGTGCCGAGACATGGCCGTGCTGAACTTGGCAGCTTCATCTTTATTTTGTGAGCGTGATGATTTTCTCTGTCTTCTGCTGTGAATAACAGTGAAGTCCGAAGAGCAAACCCTGTGTGTGTGTCGGAAGGGACCTGTGGTCCAGCTAAAGATACAAGTTCAGGAAGCAGGTGCATGATGGAGCAAGCATGTGCTAAGTAAGGCCTGAGTAGAGGCTCTAGATGCCACAGGAGCCACGCTTTACCATGCTGTGCTGTACCCATGACCCAGAACAGTATGGCCCAGGATCACAGGTGGCGCAGTGGAGGGCCAGAGGGCTGAGCCGTTGCAGCAGGGGCACCAGCTCCAACCTTGGATCTGTGTTTATGAGTCAAAAGGAAAAGCAGGTGACAGGCAGAGACTTTTGGCAGTAGGACAGGATGGTGGCTTGAGAACAGGACCTGCTTAACAAGAGGGTGAGCTGGACCTGACCCTGGAGCCCTGCAAACCATTTGAGGAGGCGCCCTGATGTCTCTGAGCCCTGGGTTAAAGGGCCTCTGCCCTGTGATTTCCCCGGGGCAGAAGGCCTGAGTCCAGGTACACCGTGGCCTCCAGGGGTGGTGGAAGGCAGTGTCAGGGATGTGGGAAAGTAGCTCCAGGTTGGCTGATAGTGGATGGGATAGAAAGGAAGCTGCTGCTTATGCTGCAGGTGGGAGGCCTCCTGCTCCCTATTGGTTTCTTTCTCCGCTGGGTTCCTGTCTGCTGCTGCAGTTGTTGGTCATAGAGAAGGCTGACAAGTGACTGGCTTTCAGTACAGCCAGGAGCCCCCTCCTTCCTAGCTTCCATCAGACAAAATCCCCAGCTCCTAAGGTGCCCTGTCCTGCTCCCAGGCTTGTCCTCCTTCAGCCCCATAAGCCTCTGTTCAACCTGTGGGGTCCTGGACCTCCTGCTCCCTGATGGCCCCGTCCTCCACTCCCCTCCTGTTTACCTTTGTCTGTGGCTGGTCCGAGGACCACAGCCAACCTGAGCAGAGCTGCAGCAGCCAGCCTCCCTCCAGCCTCAGCGGCCTGTCTGCACACACTCTGTGAGCCAGCTGCCGGCTGGAATTCTCTGTCCCATTGACAGAGGGCCCAGAGCTGGGGGAGTGGTGGAACTGAGGCAGAGGTAGGAGGTTTCTCAGGGAAGCCTGTGTCCTGCCTTCTGGACTGTGTCAGCCTTGTCTTTTGAAAGCTAAATTTCTTGGGCACCTGAGGCACTGACGGTCCCTTGAGCTTGGCCACCTGAGGGTGCTCAGGATTTGGGTTCCACCCATTCGTCCTCCAAAAGGCTGGTGAGGGAATTGCAGGAACATCTCTGTCTGCTCTGCAGCCTGGCCTGTGGCCCGGGGCTCATGTCACCTGCATGGGGAGGCAGGTATGGTCACAGTGAAGTAGAAAGCGCAAGAGAAAAGCCCGTTCTGTTCAGTGGCAAAGAGCTAGGTGAGGACACCGTGCTCTCTGGGTCCTTCCCAGAAGCTTTGGGCAGGAGAACTTGTTTACCAGTGCCCTTCATGCTCCCGTGCATTCCCACAAGCTCTGGAGTGAGCATGCCGTTGTCACGGAAGCTGGAGAGCAGCGGTCACCTCTCGGGGCTGAGAGGCAGCAGGGAGGTGCAAGTCTCCCGCACAACAGTGCCATCTGCAGGGCTAAGCCACTTTTGCCATCCGGTGTCAGAAGACAGATGGCAAACCTATACTGCAAATATGTGGCCCAGGCTAGCCTTGAACTCCTGATCCTCCTACCTCTGTTAGGATTACAGGTGTGCACCTCTATGCCCAGCTTGTGTGAGGTAGGGTCTCCCAGCTTAGGCTGAGCTGGACCTCACAGTATTCTACCTCAGCCTCGTGAGTGCTGGGTCACAGGTGCGAGCCACCACAACCAGCTTAAAGTTGCTACTACCCTGCATGGCCCCCATGTCTGTGTGTGACTCTGTGTATGTCTGTGTCAGTTTGTGTGTGTGCACACCCACACACAAGTCAAAGAACAACTCTAGGAAGTTGGGTTTTTTCCATCTACCATATGGTCCCGGGAATTGAGTCAGCTGTCAGGCTTGCCAGCAAGCATCTTTACTCTCAGATAGCCTGCCAGCCCTCGTTTTACTTTTGAAACAAATCATCAGGCCTGGCGGCGCACTTCTTTAATTCCAGCCCTGTGGAGGCAGAAGCAGGTGGATCCAGGTCAGCCTGATCTACATAGCGTTCAGGCCGATCCCTGAGACATAGTGAGATCCCATCTCAAAAACAGAACAAAACAAAAAAACAGCAACAAAAATTAACTCAGAACAAGGTACCCTGGGTTAAAACCAAAAGCAAAGGAAAAGAAAAATGCTGGTGTCCACTCCCCAGGGGCTGGGTGAACAGGTGACCCTTCACAATCACTTTGTGTTCCCTTCACTTTCAGAATATTGTGCAGTAAACCTGTGTACATTTTCCTAATGTGGAGAAGGCAGGATTCCCGAGCACAACCACACCCAGAGACAGAGGCAGCGAGGAGGGGCACTCCCTGCTGTGGTCTTGCTGTAGGGCTCTCTAATGAAAGCTGACACTCAGTTCTGGGAATCAGCAGCTTCACAGGTCAGCCCTCTGATGAGTGGGCTCTCAGCTCCCTCCTCCCTCCTTATGTAACCTGCTCCCGAGTCTCATCTGCAGTTGATCGTAGCCAAAAGGCTGGAAAGCAAAGTAGTTATTGCTCATCCAGGTTGCATCTCCTTCCCTTTGGCGTCTCTCCTGTCTGGAATATTCCTTCCCACAGATGTCACAACCAGAGAAGGCAGGGACAGCGGGGAGGCCACACTGTAGTCCAGGGCCTGGCGCTGGCTGCTGCCCATGCGACAGCTGTGCCTCTTGCCATGTTCTTCTGGATTCAGGGAAATGGTGGAAGACAACCTTTCCTACCTGCTGTGTGCAGCCGGGAGCTCCCTGCCTCAAATGGGCTTGCTGGAGAGCTCAGGTCTTCCTCCATGCTCTCCAAGGGCAGTTTTTTCCCACTAAAGGTTTTGTTTATTTTCTATGTATACAATATTCTGTCTGCATGTACACCTGCACACCAGAAGAGGGCAGCAGACCTCCATGTGTTGCTGGGAATTGAACTCGGGACTTTTGGAAGAACAGGCAGTGCTCTTATCCTCTGGGCCTTCTCTCCAGCCCTCAAGGGCAGTTCTAGATGAGGTCTACAGTCCCCACTGCACCCTCTCCTGCAGCCCCTGGTGTCGCTGCCCCTCCCCAGGCCTCTCAGCCAGGCTGGCAGCTCAAGAACTAGTTCACACGGGCAGTAGCCCGGCCGCCTTGGTCTCCAAAATGTGTCTTTTACCCCTTTGTGAAGGCATGTGAGGCTTAGATGGGCTCTACACTAGGCCCCGCTGACATTAGAGCACAGAGGGCCGAGACCTGTGACATACAGCCCATGACTGGTGCTGTTTTCAGTGGCAGAGGCAACCTCATTCTCAGTCTAACTCTGGTTCCTCTGCCCAGCCCTTGCCCTCTGTGGGCTCGCCTGAACCCACAAAGAAGCTGGCCATCGCCCTCACCTACGCCCTGAGAGAGCCGGGTGCTTTCAGGTGTGGAAAGAAAGGGCTTAGATAAAGCTAACAAGGGCATCGAGACAGCTGAGAGGGCAGCTGTCCAGAGCAACTGCTGAAATGGTGTGAGGTGACCTAGAAGCTGGCCCCATGCTGTGTGGGCGGTGGGCAAGGGGTGTGTTCCGCAGCCAAGGAGAGGTAGCTGAACTAGCCTGCACAGAGAAAAGTCTGTTTCCTCGCTGGAGAACACAGTTGCCCAGCTGGGAAGGCCTGGGAGAGCGCTCCTGTAACCAGGAGGGTTTGTGTGCAAGGCGTGCAGAGCATGGCACATCTATGCAGGAACTCCTGCACAGACGCTGAAGCAAAACGAGAGGACATCAGCCTTCCCTGGGCCCCAAAGCTCTAGTCTGCTGAGAATGGCGTCCCTGAAACAGTAGGCACGAGCTGACTGTTGCTGCACAGCGCTGCTGAGACAGATCCACACGCCCTCTAAGCAAGTTGTCCCTTCTGCCGCTGCGGCCCAGCCGGCGTGATGCCTGGAGGTTCTGGTGGCAGCATCTGGGTATAATCTGCATAGGTGACCTGGCCTGGCTAACGGGAAGCAGTAAGGAGCTGTGTTGACAACAGTGTGCTCTGGGTGTCAAGGTGAAACAGGCTGGCATGTGTATCACCTCCCCCAACGCCAACCTCCGGGAAATGACAGCAGTTGACTCAAGAAGAGGTGCTGTGGCAGAGGGGGCAGGGAAACCCCTGGATTTCTTTTTACGCTTTACACTGAGAGCTGGGGTGTGGGTCATTGGGCAGTGTTCGCCTACCATGCATAAGGCTCTGGCTTCAACCTCCATGAAATCCCAGCACAGGGCTGGCTGCACACCTGTAACCCCTTCACAGGGAGGTGGAAGAAGGAAGAGCAGAGTTTAAGATAAGCTTTGACCACATAAAATCAACTCTGCCGGACGTGGCGGCACAGGCCTTTATTCCCTACACTTGGCAGGAAGAGCTCTGTGGGTTCCAGGCCGGAACTACACAATGAGAGAAACCTGTCTGAAAAACAAAACAAAAACCACAAAAACTTCTCATGGCTGTTAGAATGGGACATCCTCGTGGGCTGCAACTGTGGAGTCACACTGCTTGGTTTGAGAGCTAAGCTCTGCCACTACATATGTAAGTTCTGGAAAATTCTGATGGCCAGGTGCCTCCATTGTCCCATCTGTATGACCAATGTTAACAGAAATTTGAACACTCTTGTGAGTGTGAGGTGGGGTAGCCCTTGGGAAGCAGGCATGTGGCTACCGCTGTCCCCCACCGTCCCTGTCAGGACTCAGTACCCAGCAGAACCAGCTGTGCAGCTTCTCCACCCCTGGCTGCCCTGTTGGATAGCGGAGGTTGGTGAGAATGAAGGCTTAGCTTGGACCCCTGCCTCCCCAGGGCACCTGCCTGTTGGCATTTGTCTACCCAAGCTTCACTGCGGCTGACTGAGGTGTCTGTAGGGAACATAGAGCCTGCTCCCCCCCCCCCGAAGATGCACAGGGCTGGCAGGGCAGCCCCCTCCTGGCCTAGGCAGCTCCATGTGCTCTGGGCATGGGCGGTGTGGGCAGGTTTGCCTACAGCTTACACTGGCCACTGTCTAGGGCCCACCCGGCCTTCTACCTTCACTTAGTGGCTGTGATGGAGGAAGTTTGGTACTGGGGCAGGCTGATCTGACAGACCTCAGGCTTCAGTGTAGGAGGAGCCTGATGTCTTCTTCTTTGTCTCAGGGGTCTAATGTGATGGAAGAGCAGGACCTGAGGGAGATTGGCATCAGTGACCCACAGCACCGGAGGAAGCTGCTCCAGGCTGCGCGCTCCCTGCCCAAGGTGACCACCCGGCCTGGGCCCGGGCCATGCCAGTCCATCTTTTCGGCCACTGTCCCCTTGGTCCTTTGACCCAGAGCTCAGGAAGTGACTGCTTCATAGGCACAGACTATATTCTTGTCCCACAAGTCTATGGCCCCTTAGAGTCAGAGAGAAGCACTCTGTCACCCTCTTCTCCGTCTTGCTCAGCCACTAGCCCCTCTTCCCAGACTCAGCAGCCTGTGCCTCCTAGACCAGAGATGGCCTGTGCTCAGGACAGCCCTCCATCCCCAGGTTCTCGGTCTGTGACTCAGAGGCACCATTTCTGCCTCCCCGTACCACAGGTGAAGGCTCTTGGCTATGACGGGCTCAGCCCGCCCTCGGTGGCGTCCTGGCTGGACTCTCTGGGCCTGCAGGACTACGTGCACTCCTTCCTGTCCAGTGGCTACAGCTCCATCGACACTGTGAAGAACCTCTGGGAGCTGGAGCTTGTCAACGTGAGTGTCGCGGGAGAGGCCGGGGCGGGAGGCGCCAAGGCCCGAGCCCCCGCTGACCTCCCCTCTGCCTCTCTGCCAGGTCCTGAAGGTTCACCTCCTGGGCCACCGCAAGCGCATCATCGCCTCCCTTGCAGACAGGCCCTATGAGGAGCCACCCCAGAAGCCCCCACGGTTCTCCCAGCTAAGAGTGAGTTCAAGGGGCAGGGAGGGTCCGTGAGTGCACTTCGTGTGTTAGTCCTGGTAGCAGCATGACTCTCGGGGTAGCAGGCAACAGTCCCCGCCCTCTCCCACCGGCCTCATGCACAGGAGAGTGGTTTCTGTCCTTCACGGAGCTGATGCCTCTTGTGTGTAGCCCAAGCTGGCTGCTAGTGAAGGACCACTTCCCCTGTGGAAGGGAAATTAAGGGGTCCAGCTCCAGGCTGGGACCACATCTAGGGCATAGACTCAGCTCTGTGCATAATCACTGAAGAGACCTTTCCAGGGCTCCAGTGTGTGTCTGAGACAGCACTGGGGAACCCTGGTCAGGCCAGACAGGCACACCTAAGTGCCTGCCTCAGAGCTATAAATCCTGGGACAGCAGCAGTTAGAGGCCCTGCCGCTTTACAGACCTCAGAGCCGGGGCTTCCTCAGACCAGCCAGTCCTTGACAGCCAGCCTATGGCTACTCCTTGGGAGCTCTTGAACTCTGTGGGCGGCATGTGCTTCTGTGCTGGGCAGCGGCCTCATGAGCCTGCTGCTTTTCACATGAGGAAGCCGAGACAAGCCAGGGCTGGAACCACATACGGTACCTCAGCTCTCGGGGCCTTGGGGACCAGTTTTCTGCTTGGAGGAGCTGCTCTGGGGCTTCTGACAGGAGTTCCCTCTGCTTTGCTGATGGGGCGGCGTGTGGCAGTTTCACTTGTGAAGAGTGTGGGGGTGGCCTCTGCCCTCCTGCCCGTTCCTCTCTGCAGCACAGGCTTATGTGGCCTCTGCAGGACGGGCCGTGGGGCGGCTTGGCTTCTAGGAGGACTGCTTCCTCTTTGGACAAGGCAAGGCCGAGCCGCCTCATCCACACAGGCTTTTGGCTAGCATGCGACCTGTGTGCTGCCTCCTCGCTGTTCACCCCTTAGCTCCTGCCTCTGCATGCCACCCGGGGCAGCCTGACACTGCCAGCCTGGAAATTTCACCAGTCTCTTGCCCAACAGTGCCAGGATTTAATCTCCCAGACATCATCCCCGCTGAGCCAGAATGATTCCTGTACAGGGCGGTCGGCAGACCTGCTGCTGCCCTCGGCAGACACAGGCAGGAGGCGTCATGACAGCCTGCACGACCCTGGGGCAGCTTCTCGAGCAGAGCGCTTCAGAGCCCAGGTGAGCAGGAGGGTCAGAGCGTGCAGGGGTCCGCTGAGGGCCGCCGTCGGTGCCAGGGGCCAGCGGTGGGCTGCCATTGCTGTCAGGAGGCAGCTCTGCCTGCTCTCTTCAGCCCTTACCCACGGCTAGGTGAGCCTAAGGCCTCCGGGAGCCTTGAGAGCAGCCCCTCCTCACACCTCCACTTTCCTTCCTTTCAATCTGGAGTTGTCCTGTGGCATGGTCTTGTGGTCTAGCCCTGCAGGCCCTTGCTCATACCAACAGCCATCCCATTCCCTCACCTGTCTTGATCCCCAGAACTTCCTCTCTGCAGCTTTCTCAGCTCCTGTCCTCTTGTCCCCCAACCCCGCAGAACCGCAGGTCAGCTGTGCCCTGCTGCTGTCCTCCACCTGTAGACCCAGCGACTTTCATGCCTCACTGTGCCCCACCAGGACAATGCCACCTTGCATTCTGGGTTCAGCCTTTCGGCCCAGATTCATCAAGCATTTGCCCGTTTGTCCTCCTTCCTTGCCAAGCTCTGGCTCTGCCACTTGCTGCAGGTTGCCTTCTGAACCGCAGCCTGGCAGATGTCGCTTCCCTTCTGGGAGAGCGATGCCTCACCCCCACTTGCTCTGACACCCGCACACATCCAGGCCTCTAGGCAGCTCCTTGTCCCCTCCTGTCCCCTCCTTCCCACAGTACAGCCGTGAATTTTACGGACCTGGAGAACAGTGTGCAGTCACTCAGTTCTCTGTGGAGACCGCGCATGGTGGAAGCAGAGCCTATGACATTTTCTGAGACTGTATCTCCTGCCTGAACTGTGGTAGCCACCCCCCACCCCAGCTGCTAGTAGAGGGTCCATTAAAAAGGCATCCTTTGCCAAGGACCTGAGGAAGCCCAGGACTTGCTCCATGGCTTCAGCCTATTTTCTTATGCGGAATGGTACCCTCAGCTGTGTTCCCTGCACGCTGCTATGTCCATGCGCCTGTCTCGGATGCCAGAGCTCTTCCTGGCTGTGCTACTCTGAGAGCACCTCCCTTGGCCCCAGTGCTGCCCGGTACTCCTTTGCCCTGCCCTCCTCACCTGGCCCCTGCCCTTGCGGGGGTCACTGGCTTCCCCACTCTTTGGATAGAGCCGCACTGAGTTGTGAGCTCCCTGGAGCAGGCGATCAGGGTCCAGCTGTGTGTGTTCTACAGGAGGAGCCCAGCGAGACCAAGCTGACCCTCCGTCCGCCCAGCCTGGCTGCCCCCTATGCCCCTGTGCAGAGTTGGCAGCACCAGCCAGAAAAGCTCATCTTTGAATCCTGTGGCTATGAGGCCAATGTGAGTCACTCCTGCCCTCCCAAGGTGGCCAGCCTCCCCCGACCCCTCCTTTCCTGAGCCTCTGCAATCCCTCTGACTGTTCACAAGGCGAGCCCCAGAACACACAGGCCAACCTCCACTGTGCTGAGTGGGGAAGGACACTGGCCTGAGAGTGTCTCAGGGGCTGTCCATCGGGGCAGGAGAAAAGGTGGTCCCACGTTGGCTAGGTCATCCTCTATGACAGCTCGTGTCCCTAAACTCATCCCCTTCCCTCTCCACAGTATCTGGGCTCCATGCTGATCAGAGATCTGCGAGGGACAGAATCCACCCAAGATGCCTGTGCCAAAATGCGGGTAAGGTGGCTGGAGAGATGGCTCAGCAGTTAGGAGCACTGGCTGCCCTCCCAGAGGACCAGGGTTCAGTTCTCGCCACCCACAGTGGCAGCTCACAACCAGCTGTTAACTCCAGTTCAGGAGAATCAGATGCCCTCTGTTTGCCTCCATGGATCCCTGGCAGGCACACGGTGTGCTGACATGTACTTGGGCAAAACAGTATACATATAACGTGGCAATAATGGGAGACCATGGGGAGGTGGCAGATGGCCTACCACACCGTGGAGGAGCGGGAAGGGCTGGGAGCCCAGAGCTGCATTCTCAGCCCACCCCATGCCTCTTACAGAAGTCTACAGAGCACATGAAGAAGGTCCCCACCATCATCCTGTCCATCACCTACAAAGGCGTCAAGTTCATCGACGCCTCCAACAAGGTATGCTGCTCATGAGGACTGTAGGCAGGTGTATTAGACCCTGTGTCCCCTCTGACCAGACACCTGAGAGAAAACAGCCCGTTTCAAAAGGGTCAGACCGTGCTCGCTTGCCTCCATGTTTGCGCCTGGGATGAGGCGCTAGCGGCAGAGGCCATTCCCCTCATGCTGCTCAAGTAGCGGGGGTGGGAGTTGGAGTGGGCGGGCAGGCGCAAGTCTCTAGCACATCCTGAAATAGCCAGGACGGACCTTCAGTACAGGGTCCTCCTCAGGGTGGGGCACCTCGCTTCTTAACTATAGTGTTCTGCTCCCAGGCCCAAACGGCTCACGGCCATCTAATAACGAAAACGCACCCTCAGATACCCGCAGGCCTAGCACTTTCCAGAAGAACACGTACAGAGTTTCCTATGAGGTTCAGTGCTAATGGGTTTTTAAAAAAGATTTATTTATTCATGTGTTTTATGCTTTTGAGTGCTCTGTCTTCATGCACACCAGAAGAAGGAAGCAGATACCATTACAGATGGTTGTGAGCCACCATGAGGTTTGCTGGGAAACAAACTAGGGACCTCTGGAAGAACAGTCAAGTGCTCTTAACCCCAAAGCAAATGTTTTTTTGCTTTGCTTTGCTTTGCTTTGCTTTGCTTTGCTTTGCTTTGCTT